GCAGAGCTGCTTGGCCAGGAGGTTGTCGATGAGCGCCTGCAGTTCCTTCTCGGTGGCCTTGCTCTGCTCGTACTTGCCCTCCAGCTCGAGCTTCTGGCTCAGGAGATCTGAGGTGTGCTTGGTGGCGGCCTCGATCTTGCTCCAGCGCCTCGGTGTTGCTCTGCTGGTTATTCTGCTTGCGTTCCAGCTCGCTGAGCTGGACCGATGTGGGTTTGGCCTCGGAGAGCTCGTGTTCCAGCTGCTGCGCCTCCTGGCGCTTAGCCTCCACGATTGCCTCTGCGCCTTCCACCCCATCGAGTCGTTTGATCTCGCTGCGTAGCTTCCCCCAACGGCGGACACGATCTGTCTTTTCCGCAGACTGCGACCCACCGACTGCCGCTGCTGCTGCGCCTCCATCGCCGCCATGCCCTGTAGACTGACTGTTTCCAGCTTCTTGACCTTCCTGCGCAACTGGTTGAGCTCGTGGCGTTGACATGCCACTCCACCATGAGCTTGCACCAGAACCGCTTTCCCACCAGTCATATCCACAGCTGCAACAAACGTGCCTGGAACCCCAGTTCTTCTTGGCTCCGCACTTCGGGCAGTCCCAGACACTGGGGGCGCCGCCGCCACCGATGCCCCTGCCTGGTTGCTGACCACCCCGTCGTCCTCGTCCGCTGCCTCCTCGGCCGCCGCCTCCGCGCGCGCCGCTTCGATCACCACCTCCAAGCCCTGCCATTGGTCGAGCCCGCCGCGGCTGGGCTCCCAATCGGGCGACCGGGGCCGAGTGTCGGAAAGGTTATGGATATGAAAGAACTGTGGCCTCTGAGGCCTCGCTGAAAAGCTTGGACGGCGAGAGCATGCCACATGCTCACAGACATCTGCTCCGATGGCGTCATCTTGAACCAAAATGGCTACGGATGATGATGATGATGATGATGATGGTGATGATGATGAAGGGAAAAACGGGGAGACGGAGGGAGAAAGTCATTACCAGCCGAGAGTTTGGAAGCCAGTCTGCATGAAATACCGACTGACATCAGGCGACAACGAGCCACATTCGGCTGGATTTGGCGGGTCCCCGACCACGGATATATATATATATATAAATATATATATATATGTATATATGTATATGTATATGTACATGTATATGTATATGTATATGTATATGTATATATATGCCGATCGTACCAAATACGGAAACACATATGTGTATATATACACGCGTATATATATATGTATATATATATATACACCAGCGCCGACGCTGGACTTAACCCCCCAAGAGACGCATCCTAGTGGGGCGGGGTGGCCTAGTACAGGCTCTGTCGTCGGCGACGAGGCGAAGGGGATCCGCAGTAGCGTCGGGCCAATCGGGGGCACCGATCGGAAAGTTGCCCAGCGCGCACGAGAACGAGAGCCAGGAGAGGACGGCCGCGCGGGGCGAGAAGGGAGATGGGGTAGGCCGCGCGGCCGGGTACAGGCTCACCTGCCGGTCAAGGCGGCAACTTGCTTCAGATTGTCGCCACGGTCCTGCCAGAGTTAGGTCGGGCCTGACCCCCTACAGGGGGATTCTGGGCGACAAATGAAGAACACTCATACAATACCACCCAAATGCTCAAAGATGGTCAAACAAAAATTGACCCCGGACTATGTTTTGACTATTTCTGGATGGGACAGGCCCGGCTTAATGCCATAGCGAGCCTGACCAGGCTGCCACCGCTGCGACAACAGAACCCGGCGCGCAATGGGGCCCCGTGGAGGCGCCTCCGCAGCTCGACGTGGCAACTGCCTCAGGCCCGCCGTGCCGCCTCCTCGGTGATGCTGACAGGGCCGTCGATCATTCCTCGTTTTAAGTCGGGCCTGTCCCCCTACAGGGGGATTTTGGACGACAGATTTTTAACATGCTCCAAAAATACCACCCACATGGGCACAAATACTCAACGAATCGTCCCAAGACTATTTTCAAAACTATTTCTGAATATTCCTCCTGTAGAGGGACAGGCCCGATTGAATGCAAATGCCGGTTCCCCAAGACTACAAGAGGAACAAGACGCCATGAGCATAACTTTCGGCACTCAGCGCGGAGTTCTTGGATCTGCGCTGGACCCCCCTCCCTGGTGCGCGGAGCACGCCAGGGGCGGCGCCGGAGGCGCCAGCGAGGGGGGCCCCAGTGCGGATCCAAGAAATCCGCTCGGAGCGCCAACTATGTTTTAGAACGTAGGCCAACTGAGGGCGAACGTCATGCCAACAGGTAAGGAATCAAAAGGTCTGGCATGCCCCTGTTGAAGAATCATGATGTCGGATCTCTGGGGAGGGAGGGAGTGAAGCGGAACGAGGATGAAAATAAGGGGGAGTAGCCAGCGGAATTAAGGCTCATCTGCTCCGCTCCTTACCTGGGACGTCATAATTCAGGGGTGGCGAAGACCGTCACATCCCCACGAAGCCGCCCGGCCGTCTCCTTCCTCCTGCCCTCCTTGGCCGGTTTTGGAGGCCCGAATGGGGCCACAGCAGATAGGAGTGGGAACGACGCACCGCATCGCGGATGCATCGCCGATGCACCTGCGATGTCGGGGTGGAGACAACCAGGCTTCCCCAAAAGAAGGGGAAGGTGCTACAAAATAGTAGTGAAGAGGAGGCGCAGCCGGACCAGCGCCTCCTCCTCGCCCCCCGGGCGGAGGCACGAACCCCCTTCTACGTGGGCCGCCGGGTGGCGCGTGGCATGGCCCGAGGCTGGATCACTGCCAGTCTTCCGAGTGGCCAGGCGAGCCCACCACTGTGTCTCTAAAGTGTCTCCTTTTCATTCCCCTTTTATCCTCCGCGTCCCCCCTTCCCTTCCACCCTCCGGAATTTGTTTACAGATTTGCTCGGCCCAATGTTCGTCTGTTTCGGTTGAGGGTTTTGATATGAGGTTTTTGAGCCAACGTCCAGACCAACATCCATTGGTCTGCCCTTCCAAATTGCTCTATGCGCCGCCACGCTGGTCCCGGGGAGGCTGTGCTGCCCAGCGAAGGGGGATGGGGAGCACGAGACCGCCCGGTCCAGCAACCGTTTCGCCGGATTCTCACACTTCACTCCTGGATGGTGCTCTCGCTGCGATTCCGGCTACGTGTTTAGTCTGAGCGGCCACGATCCCCTGTAACAAGAGCACAAAGGTGCGCATGGCCGTGCTCTCACCCCCAGGACTACTCAGGAATGCACGCTTGCACTGGCCGACCTCCTACTCCTCGACCCGCCTCTTCGCCTATGATGCTGTAGGGGTGCTTTGCTTGGGCATCTTCCGTACCTAAAGAAGCGGCCCCTCCTCGTCGTTCGTTCGTGCCTTGGAGACGGGGCCTGGGTCCCACACAACTGAAGCTGAGAGCAGCGATAGGTAGTAGCAAAGGGGAAAAGGGGTGGCGATCGCTGCAGCGGCGCTCACTCCACGTGCAACTCCATGCAGTCCCCCCCACCCCACACCCCTCATTACAAGACCCCTCGCCTTCCCCCTCCCCACGCTGACGACTAGAGAGACGGCCGCGGCGCCCGCGCCCACACGCCCTGCGCCAGACGCCCACGACGGCCGCGGTGGACCCCCTGGGCCCTTCCGCGGGCCCACACGCACACATGGATGGGCGACGACAGCAACGGGCTTTACGCGAGATGGCCTTGCGACTACACTTAAAGTCGGGCGTGTCCCCCTACAGGGAGTTTCCGGCGAAACCTGACAAATTTTACAAACAATGCTCCAAACTGGCAAAACAATCCCCAGACACTAGTCCCCAGACTGTTATTTGACTATTTTTGAATTTCCCCCCTGTGGATGGACAGGCCCGACTTCAGCCTGCACGCGGCGGCTCCCGCAGGCCGCCAGCGCGGCACGCCGCGTGGAGAAGAGGGCGCTGATGTCGGTCTCGCGCAGCTCGCGCGGGCAGCTTGCGCGCGCTGATGTTGGTTTGGGAGCGGCCAAGAGGGGGGTGTCCAAGAGGGGGGGGTGCAAATCATGACCAGCGGCACGTGCGCGGCCCAGCAGGGGGGCCAGGGACGTAGTGGTATACGAAGAGGCGCCATGAAATCTGAGGAAATATCGGGTCGGGCGATAAGGGGGGATAGCAAAGGGGGGGTTTGAGAATCAGCTCACGTAGCTGATTTTCCCGGCGCCTCCCGGCGCCGGAGGCGGCCATGTATCGAGGACTGGGCCCCGCGGTGGGGCCGAAACCAGCTGCATGCAGCAGATTTCGTAACCCCCCCTTTCCCAATCCCCCCCCTTTCGCCCGGCCCGAAAATATCATGGCCCCCGCCATGATATCCACCCCCCCATCCCCTGACCTTCCAGAGAGCTATTTTATAGCACTGGAGACCTAAAAACCTAAACAACTAAACGCAACAGCCTAAAACCAAGACGTAGAATAGCTCTGGGATAAGTTTTTAAGTTGCGTGCTATTTTTCAGCCCTCCTGGAAGGTCAGGGTCATTACCCCCCCCTTTGCCTCTCCCGGTCGGCGAAGAGACGGCCCCGCGCCGCCGCGTCGCCCCCGCGGGGGCCCCGCACCCTCGGAGCCCTTGGCCCCGCCAAAGCGCGCCGAGGGCCGCGCGAGCACAGCCGTTCCGAGAGAGCTCGCCGGAGCGGCGGCGACGGTCGGAAGCTCGGGTCGGGCGAAAGGGGGGGGATTGGGAAAGGGGGGGTTACGAAATTTGCTGCATGCAGCTGGTTTCGGCCCCACCGAGGGGCCCAGTCCTCGATACATGGCCGCCTCCGGCGCCGGGAGGCGCCGGGAAAATCAGCTACGTGAGCTGATTCTCAAACCCCCCCTTTGCTATCCCCCCCTTTCGCCCGACCCGAGAAGCTGGGCGAGGGCTGCTAAAACCGTGGCTGCTAAAACGGCCCTCCCGGAAGGAAAAAAACAGCTTCCCGGAATGAAGCGCGGCACGGGAAACAGTCAACGGGCTGCTTCCCGGAAGGACGAAGACAACTTCCCGGAGGTCGATTTTAGCAGCCACGGATTTAGCAGCCCTTGCCCGGCTCCCGAGGCGACGCTCCTCGACTCCTGGACCTGCGCCCTTCTCAGGAGCTCCTGCACCTTCAGGCCGCCGGGCGCCGCCGACGTCGTCGGCGTCGCCGCCCACGTCGTCGTCCGCCTCCCCGCCGTCGCCGCCGCCACGATGCCGCCATGGGCGCCGTCGTCGTCGTCGTGGCCGTCGTCATCATCGTCGGCATCGTCGTCGTCGTCGTCGTCGCCCTCGCTATCCTCCTCATCTTCCTCCTCCTCCTCCGCCTCCTCCTCCTCCTCCTCCTACTGCTCCGTCCCTCCAACGACCACTCAGGCCCCGACGCATGGGGACGGGGAGGTCGGAACTCGTCGTCGTCATCGTCGTGTTCGTCGTCGTCCTCGTCGGTGTCGTCGGCGTCGGCGTCGTCGTCGTCGTTGTCCTTGTCATCGTCGTTGGCGGTGGCGTCGTTGTCGTTGTCGTAGGGGTCGTCGGCGTCGTCGTCGTCGCCTCCTCTCCTCTGCGTTCTAGCAAGAGGCGGGACGGGGCCTTCCCGAATTTGTGTTTTCGTTGTCCTCCTCTTCCCTCACCTCCCCTCCTCTTCCCTCACCTCCCTTCACTTCCCTCTGAAGTCCAGGAGGGGGGAATGGGCAGGGAGGGTACAGTCGGACCTGACAGAAAAACACCCTTCAAGAAAATGAGAGCCTCCGTCGGCCAAAGCACACAGAAGATCAAAGGGTACCCTCCCCAGGATGCACGAGAGCATTCAACGAAGACGAAGTGCCCTCCCCGAACCGACCTCGATCTTATATCTCGGTCCAACTGTAGACAATGAATATATGTATATACATGTATACATATACACAGGGCAGAGCCATCATAACGCGTCGTCGTCGTCCCCTTCTACCTCGATGTCCTGGTCCTCATGTCCTGCGCACTGTGATTTGGGGCCAGCGAGACGGGGGGTAGATGGGCCAGGCGTACACTGAAAGCTAAAATCCAAGGCCGTCGCTGCCAGACAAAAGAACTCAAACAAACAACCGTATTGCAGGGACAGGTCTACGTCCCTGAGACATGGATGGACCATACGACTACTATCAAGACCAAGGCACCTTCGCGAGTTTCGTTGTCATGTACGCTAGTTTCCATGGGGGATCGCGCATGAGCACGCGAGCACTTGCTGCAATGACGGTGCGTTAGCATTGGCACCTGAACTTTTGCGCGCGGTGACGTTTGATAGTACGCCCTTGGCGTTGGAGTCATATTATACATGCTGCGGCAGCCTAGCAGCGGACCATCATGCGAAACCACGTTCCTCATGTATCCTGCAAGGCTAGTGCCGGCATAACAAGCCCGACCTTCTCAGCAACTTAACTTGACAACATGGCCAACGACTTGATCCGTGGTTGCAAGATCAACCAACATCACTTCGGGAAATCGGATCGGACCAGAACGCGCGTCGGATTGGGCTGCATCGGCGCGGACTCGAAATCGAATCGGCCGCGCCTGGATGCACCCGTGCTAACATCGGGCCGTATCGGATCGCTGAAATGCCAGAAACATCGAATCGGAGTGGCCACGGGAGTGGGGCCCGGAACAAAGCCAAACCGCCCTTTGGGAATGGGAAACGCTGCAACCTGTATCGTCAACGACCGGATCGCCAAGAACCTGCACGAACCCCACTTGGGGAACTAGCTACATCATTCCTGGGACAACCTCTCCTGGGCCCCAAAAACGTGTGGTGACGGACCGCGCGGTGACCTCGGACCCCAAGAGACCTCACCGCGCAGTCCGTCACCGCACGGTTTTGGGACCCTGAAGGCCTGAGTCGCCCGAGACATCCTCGCGGGAACGACCCGAGTCCCAAAACCGCGCGGCAATCCCGAATCCCCACTGACTAGAGGCCTCCTAGATGGGGTCCAGGTAGATGGGGTCGCAGGATCGCGCCGCATCGCCAATGCATCGCCGAGGCATCGGCGATGCATCGACAGCGCACTGGCGACGTCGGCGATGCATCGGCGACGCCAGCGTGGGGAAACATGGGCCCCGCATCGGGACGCATCGCCAATGCTTCGGCGATGCGGCGCGGTCCTCCGACCTTGGAGGCCTAGACTGGCTCACCACGCGGTTTCGTCACCGCACCGTACCACACCGCTTGGGGAAGCCCGGCCGCAAGGGCGCCACGACGGCCACGACGGCGCCTGCCGGTTGTGCTCCCGCCGCAGCTGCCGCAGCGCGACCGCGGAGGCCTCCGCCTCGGACTCGTGGCCCTCGCCGCGGGGGGGGGAGGGGCGCCCGGGGGCACCGGGGACAGCACCCCCCGCCCCCTCCAGTTTATGCTGTTCCCATCGCACCTCAGGGCCACATCCCAGAAACAGGTTCGAGCACCCAGAGAAGCATCGAAACAGCGTCTGCCTGACACGCCAGCGAAGAGTCCGACACGAGAACGCCCTCCACTCTTGGTACTCTCCTGGTGCTCGGGATTCTCTCTTGTGACCAGGGCTGCGGTAGGTAGGAGCACCGTAACACCATTCCAGGATCCCCACTCCCGACCTGGTGCCTCGAAGGGGTCCTGGCTGGGGGTCGGGGTGGGGGTTCCGGCCACCTACGGCCCGAACAAACCACCCCCTCCTCATCCTTCTTCTCCTCCTCCCTCCCTCCCTCTCTCCTTCCCTCCCTCCCTCTCTCTCTCCTCCCTCCCTTCCCTTCCCCTCCCCTCCCTCCCCTCCCTCCCCTCCCCCTCCCCTCCCCTCCCTCCCTCCCTCCCCTCCCTTCCCTTCCCTTCCTTCATTCCCTCCCCTTCCCCTCCCCTCCCTTCCTTCCTTCCCTTCTCTTCCCTCCCTCCCCCCTCCCGCCTCCCTCCCGCCCTCCCTCGCTCCCTCCCTCGCCCCCCCCTCCCACCCTCCTCCGCCCTCCTCCGCCCTCCTCCTCCTCCCTCTCCTCTCCCTCCTCCTCCTCCTCCTCCTCCTCCTCCTCCTCCGCCTCGCGCCTCCGCCTCCTCCTCCTCCTCCTCCTCCTCCTCCTCCTCTCCTCCTCCTCCTCTCTCCTCCTCCTCCTCTCTCTCCTCCTCTCTCCTCCTCTCTCCTCCTCTCTCCTCCTCTCTCCTCATCTCTCCTCCTCTTTCCTCCTCCTCCTCCTCCTCCTCCTCCTCCTCCTCCTCCTCCTCCTCCTCCTCCTCCTCCTCCTCCTCCTCCTCCTCCTCCTCCTCCTCCTCTCCTCCTCCTCCTCCTCCTCCTCCTCCTCCTCCTCCTCCTCCTCCTCCTCCTCCTCCTCCTCCTCCTCCTCCTCCTCCTCCTCCTCCTCCTCCTCCTCCTCCTCCTCCCTCCTCCTCCTCCTCCTCCTCCTCCTCCTCCTCCTCCTCCTCCTCCTCCTCCTCCCTCCTCCTCCTCCTCCTCCTCCTCCTCCTCCTCCTCCTCCTCCTCCTCCTCCTCCTCCTCCTCCTCCTCCTCTCCTCCTCCTCCTCCTCCTCCTCCTCCTCCTCCTCCTCCTCCTCCTCCTCTCCTCCTCCTCCTCCCCCTCCAACGTCTCCTCCTCCTCCTCCTCTCCTCCCTCCTCCTCCTCCTCCTCCTCCTCCTCCTCCTCCTCCTCCTCTCCTCCTCTCTCCTCCTCCTCCTCTCCCCTCATCAGGCTGGACGTGGGGGTTTCCTGGCTGGGGGTGGGGGTGGGTTGTGCTGTCCTCCGTGCGGCACTTGGGGGAGGAGCTCCTGCACCGCCCGAAGACGACGGGGCTGCTGCGCGTGAAGAGAGAGAGAGAGAGAGAACGGCCCCAGACCTTCCCTTCCCTTCCCTTCCCTGCCCTGCCCTTCCCTTCCCCCTCCCTCGCTCCCCCCGCCCTCCCGCCCTCCCGCCCTCCCTCCCGCCCTCCTCCCTCCCTCCTCCGCTCTCCTGCTCCCTCCTCCTCCTCCTCCTCCTCCTCCTCTTCCTCCTCCTCCGCCTCCGCCTCCGCCTCCGCCTCCTCCTCCGCCTCCTCCTCCTCCTCCCTCCTCCTCCTCCTCCTCCTCCTCTCCTCCTCCTCCTCTCTCCTCCTCCTCCTCCTCCTCTCTCTCCTCCTCTCTCCTCCTCTTTTCTCCTCCTCCCTCCTCCTCCTTCTCCTCCTCCTCCTCCTCCTCCTCCTCTCCTCTCCCTCCCTCCTCCCTCCCCTCCTCCTCCTCCTCCTCCCTCCTCCTCCTCCTCCTCCTCCTCCTCCTCGTCTTCCTCCTCCTCCTCCTCCTCCTCCTCCTCCTCCTCCTCCTCCTTCTCCTCCCCCATCAGGCTGGACGTTGGGGTCCTGGCTGGGGGTGGGGGTGGGTTGTGCTGTCCTCCGTGCGGCACTTGGGGGAGGAGCTCCCGCACCGCCCGAAGACGACGGGGCTGCTGCGCGGGAAGAGAGAAAAAGGCCCCAGACCCGCCTCGTCCGCCCTGCTCGGGTGCTGCTTCATGGGCGGGCGTGTCACTATTCGGGGGGCGTAAAACAGTATCCAACTAACTGTTCCGCCGTTGGGGACGCCTGCGCCCGGGCGACTGGAAAACTCCTACAGCTACGCGGCATCGTGAGGGATAAACTTTCCAGCCCCGCCCTGGGGCAGGCGCCCCCGACAGCGAAAACGTTCATGGTATACCGTTCTTCGCCCGTAGACGTTGGGAAGGGAGCGAGAGGGGGGGAGCGAAGAAACGTGCAGCTTTCGTGTGTCCCCGGTGGGCCCAAGAGGGCCTCTCTCAGGGACCATCTTCACCCCGGCGTTGGCCGCCCCCAAACGAAGCACAGCCTGACCTGTATGCCGCAGCCGCTGGGCCCCAGCACTCCGGGAGTTTCGTGGGCATCCCGCCTCGCCCGCCCTGCACACCGCGCCGCCGCCAGAGCCCAGCTGTCCTCGCGAGTACAGCAGCGTGAGAACGAACAGGCACCCGCAACTGGCGTATCTAGGAGACAACCCCATCAGGGAGGCATGACAGCATCACGCCGTCCTGTCGCCACGCCATAGACAGACAGGCAAGACATACATTACGAACAAGCACCAGTTATAAGCTTCCACCGAGAACCTACACCATCACCACACAGTAAGACACGACAT